ACTGTGAATATGTTGTCTCAGTTTAACTAGATTTTGGGTGGAAAATAAAACCCGAGTGTCGTCTCCACAAATACAACACAATATATTATGCAACGCAAGGAAATGATTTTCGCAGAAAAGGAAGACCAAGCTAAATATGATAGCAACATTTATACAGTCAGATAAGTGTATTTACATATTAAAAAGCAGTGGCCTTTGTTTTGGCCATGAAAAAAACCAAAAGTTCAATTGTTCCTAATTATTTGTCGCAAGTCAATCTGCAAAGTTTCGAAATGTTTTTGTTGCAAGTGAGAAAATTCAATTGGTATTGTACACCAATATGTGTGCGTGTGTGAAAGTGAAGCACCTACTAATGAAACATGACTGCTGACTAATTGCATGTGCTAGTAGTATTTTTAGAATACAGTGAACAAAAAGAGGAGTGTAGGAATTACATTCGTTCCGGCTTTGTATGTAGAAAAATCAACACTGACTGACGCTTTGTCAAGGTAACGCGTGTCTAAGCTGTTGAGCAAGGCTGGTCTGCTTCGCTGACTGTGTTTCGCCGACTGTCTTTCATTGATTGTGTCGTTGCCGATCTGGCCGTTGACTGTTGATTTTATCGCTATTTGACAGACGGTGATCGACTCAAGTATCCTACATTAGATTTGCGCAGGAATATAACTCGAGCCATGGGACTATTTCGATGTCATTTGTCGTTCAACAGCTCGGACGTAGGAGAGAACACATCATGTGACTTGCCATATCCACTCAGGTTCCAGAAACGACTTAATTTGGAGCCGTGTTTGTACAGGATATTAAAATAATTTTTTCGTATCTATAGAATTTAGTAAAACTTATTTATAGGCGTGTCTTACTTGTTTTTGCTTCACTTATTGGTCGTAAAATATAGGAGTTCATATCTTATAAAACCGCTAATGTTGTAAATGTATGATATAAACAGAGAAATATTGACAAGTTATTGTGTGTCTAACCTTACTTTGCATGTTTTATAAATAATGACACTAAGTAGATGATATACTATCGAAGATCATGTTGCAAATTTAATTAATAATTAATACTGGTCCAGCAGATATAGCGTATAAACACCGTATAAAAACCATTAACAGTATATTCTTAGAGACTTATTTTTTTAGCAGGATACATTGCAAGGAAAATATCTTCAAAAAAATTAGGAGTGGATCTAATTTTTGCGATTTGGTAACTGACAAATGAGACTCAGGTTTATTTTCTATTTACAGGTTAAAGTGCGTTTTGCTTGGTTTTTATTTTGTTTGTTAACGACATATCAACACCTTGTGGGTTATTTAATGTCGAAATTTAATATTCTTGGGAGCTTTGAAGTAAAAAAATATATGTTATTATGCTTTCGCAGTTGAATAAATGGTAGACTATGCTCAGCTTTTGTGCATATACATGTTTGTATGTATATGATTATTAAAGGTGGTGATACGCGTGTTTTATGTTGTAGTTATTTGAAGTTATATTTTAGAATACAGTTTGATTTGTTTAAGTAAGTGTAGGATATTATACTTCCATAGTATTTTGTTTGTGGGTGGGGTCAATATCTGCCTAATGATTGGGCCCTAACAGGTGTTACCACCCCGGTTCTAGGTGGATCTAGGAACAACTTCAGTTAAGAGGTGTTTTCATGCTCCGCAAATCATCATATCTCATAATGAGAGACCTTGCTCTCCGATGTATTTTATCGTCATATCCAGCACTAGACAAATGCTTCTGCTTACAACTTCTAGTGATATAAATAGAATCAGCGGATTTATTATTTATTAGTCAAGTGTTGTAACTTACCTGCCAAAAAAAAGTAAATGATCAGAAGCAACTGCATATTATGATTCTTCATAACATCTGGATCGAATATGATGTTGCGGAGGGAATGGCATTTGCTTGAAGATTTGATTTTCATATTTGCTTGAGAATCATTTTCAGAATTCTCTGGCTGTACAGAGTCGGCAGAAGAGTTGGTCTGAAAATAAAGTTGATTTGATTTTATGGCAAAGCTGATCAGGACTAAACCTTGTTACTTATTTGTGTGACGTAATCTATAAATTATCGTTAAAATTTGCTTTAAATTTTCATATATTAACATAAATCAGTAAAAATAATAAGTTCTGAATTCAAAATATCATTTTATTTTGAAGCCGCAAATTTGGTCATTGATATTTATTTGAGAGAAAATTGACATGAATTATCTTTTTGATGCATCTACTTAATTGAATCCGCCGTTAAAATCGATGACAGCTTCAATACATCTTAAACCATGCCATGATTGAATCAGATGATCTTGGTCTAGGTCAAGTTAGAGCGGACATAAATTTCTAACACTATTGAATGACTTCTCTTGTTTTGATACGTCGTAGTTCAATGGTTTCAAGTATGGTTAGTAGGGTAGGTCGATTTTTAAATCAGACTCTTGGACAGATCTAGATAGTTAGGGCATGATATCATAAAACAAAAAATAAATATTTTCCTTTAAAATTTCGATTCCATTTGAAGGAATGCAATTAAAATGAAATTAACTAATATGGCGGAGATTATTGCGGTGTTAACTGAAATAAATAGCCAGACAAGATTATTCCATGTTAAGAAAATAAATTGAATGTAAATAAATTTAAAACTGAGGTTTAACATTTCTTTAAAATACTGGAAAGGATAAATATAAAATAGTACAGATATAATCGCATCGGCCTTTACAATCATAGACGTCCATGCTCCAGCCAAGCAGACAACTTGGATGTTAACTATGGTCAACCCTGACTGACAGAGGCCTACACAAAATAATTGTTATAAGAAATAACATTGTAACGAGAGCGAAATAAATAAATATTTATTCTCCCATTTACGTTTCTCCCGTTATAGAATCCCCAGCAGTGGCTTCCAGCTCTTTTTGAACTTTGACAGTTAACGACAGTACAATTTTTAAAAAGCGAGCAATTGCTAAAGTCAATCTGCATTTAAAGTTTGGCTTATCATCTTTTGTTGTTAGCTCGATGAAAATTCAAAAGATATGTTAATAAAAGCAATTTACAAAGATTTTAGAGTTATTAAAAGACTCGTCCTCAAAGAACTGAGCAACCCGGTAATATTCAACCCAATTAGAATTTTACTATAGATACCACAGACACTTTTTGTTCCACCCACTTATAAGGGTCGAACTAAAAGCAGTACGGATCTCAGGAGGTTATAATTAATAAAGGAACATTCGTTATTAATGTTTATGTAGTTATTATAAGGTACTTAAAACTTCAGTCTGTTTTTCAATCATCGTTTGCATAAACTGTCTACAGAAGTAGATGAACAAAAAAAAAACGATATTTACATTTGTTTCTTCTTCATTTTCAGTCGTATCTCCGTCGGGTTCGAATTAAATTGTTTCGTTTGCATAGATTGGCCGTTGTTTCTGAAATGTGAACGTTTTTTTCGCTACCTTTGAAAGCTGGTTAGACAAAAACTAACAAAATTACATATTTGTATAAACTTTTGGATTGTGAGACCGGAAACTACAGCAATAGACTATTTCTAGGTCATTTGTCGTTCAACAAGCTAGACGTGACACAGAGATAGAGACATCATGTGACTTACCAGTGTTGGACACTAGGTTCCAGAAACGACTTACAATTTGGAGCCGTGTTAATATAGGATATTAAAATCCGTGTTTTTTTCCATCTATAGAATTTAGTACAAACTGGTGATTTATTCGAGAAACGCGTGTCTTACCAGTATTTTCGACGAAGAATTCGACAAACTTATTGGTCGAAAAAAATATAGTAGTTCATATCTTATAAAACAGAAAGATTCGAGAATTTAAATATACCATATAAATAGCGACAGATAGTGAAAAGTTACAGAAACTTATCGTTCCGACAGCATGTTGAATAAATAATGACACTACATTAGATGATTATTATCGAAGATCGTGTTTACATATTTAAAAAATTAATTATATTCTGGTACCAAACAGCATTGACGAATAGCGATATAAAAAACCATTAAAGTATGTCCTTAACATTACGATTTATTTTTTTACAAACACACACACACACACAAAAAACAGTTTGTTTAAAACAAAAAAATTAAGAGAAGATCTAATTTTACTCAAGTTTTTGAAAAAAACTAACAAATGAGACTCAGGTTTATTTTCTATTTACAGGTTAAATTGCGTTTTGCTTGGTTTTTCTTTTTGTTTATAAAAAAATAAATAAATAAATCCACCTTGTGGGAAATTTAATGTCAAAATTTAAAATTCTTGGAACCTTTGCAAAAAAAAAAATGATATATTTATTAATTGTCTGTCCATATTTTTTTTTCTGTTGAAAAAAAAGGAACAAAAATATATCAAGATTTTTGTACCATATACATAGTTTGTATGTATCAAATTAAAAAGGTCGCTGTCATTTGTCTGTTTAAATGTTGAAGTTTTTTGAAGTTAAATTTTAAAGAATAAATTTGATTTGCAACAAAAGTGTAGGATATTACAACAACTATTTTTTGAATTTGGAATTCCAAAAATTGCCTTCAGAATGCTGAACTACAACAGAATCAATTTAAAGAATTACTCGTAAATGCATTAAAAAGCTCAAATCTGGAAAAGATACAATATCCTTAAGAGTACAATTTTCATGCAAAACTTTCGACGCTTTTTCCGCAAATCATCATATCTTTTTAATAGACCTTGAACAATGGTCCAGTAAAAGAAGGTACGTTTTATTGTCAAAACTGGGAACTAGAACAAGTAGGTTCTAGACTTACACTACTAGTGAAAATAACTGAAGATTTTTCAGCGGATTTATTATTTATCGGAGTCTATTCGGGCCTAACACAACCGTGTTCCACAAACGTTGGAAATGATCTGAACAAAGTCAAAGACAAAGAGCAAGATTTTTTCTTCGTTTGAAGCATCTGGATCAAATAATGATTTTAAACTAGAGGAATGACTGCCGATGATTTGAAGATTTGATTTTTCATCTTTATCAGCAGAAGAATCATTTTGACGAATGCTCTGGATGTACAGAATCGCCAGAATTGTTGGTCTGAAAATAAAGTTGATTCAAATTTTATCGAGGAAAGGTGTGGCTGATTAATAAACTAAACCAAGTTACCTCTTATTTGTCAAAAAGACAAAAGGCAAATCATGTCCTAAATTATCAGTTCAAATTTAAAGGAACCGCCCGGACTTGTTACCATTTTCATATATTATTGGATGAAATCAGTCCAAAAAGAACAAAAAGTTCAAAATTTCAAAATATCATTTAATTTGGTACGCCAACAGAAAGAAAACCCAAAAAATAAAATTAGGCAAGTCAATTGATATTTATTTGATAGAAATTTGAAAATATGAATGGATATTTTCAATAAGTCCATTAAATTTAATTGAATCCGGGCCGATTTTTCAACCAAAATGGTGTATGAAACCGACCTTAATAAAAACATCTTAAACCAAATGCCATGATGGAAAAAGATGATTTTGGTCTATTTTATAACACTAAATGGAGTTAACAAAAAGTTAGGGCGGACGTATTGAAAAAAAACTTTTATAACTTATTTGGAACAGATTGAATGACTTCTCTCTCGACTATGCCCAATACGTTTGTCGCAAGTTCAATGGTTTCAAGTAAATCTAAAAAGGAACTCAAACAACAAGGTCCAGTTTTTTAAATCAGACTCTTGGAAATGTACTAAAATGAAATAGTTCAAGGGGCATGATACAACCGGTAAACAACAAATAAATATTTTCCTTCTAGAAAATTTCAAAAGATTCCATTCGAACAAGCAGGCATTCTGTAAAATGAATTTAACTAATGGGCGGAGATTACGGTCTACGTGTTAACTCCAATCAAATAACCATGACAAGATTTTTATTCCATGTTAAGAAAATAAATTGAATGTAAATAAATTTAAAACTGAAGTTTAACATTTTTTTAAAATACTGGAATATCTTAAATGGAAGAAAAATAGTCCAAATATAATCGCATAAACACCCAAAGAGGGTTGAACAAATCAACAGACGTCCATGCTCCAGTAAAGGTTGCAGACAATTGGATGGTCATGGACGTCAACCCTGGGTAACCTTGCCTACGCAACAAAATAATTGGATGATATACTGGTAACTATAAAAACGGCAGAGCACCGGAAATAAAAAAATATTTGAAATTCTCCCATTTACGGTTTAAGGTTATAGAATCCCCAGCAGTGGCTTTTTCATACCAGAGATTAAATACTTAGGGCACATTATAAATTAACGACACGGTCGTCAATTTTTAAAAAAGAGCAAATTGATCAAAACAATGCTCTGCATTTAAGTTAATAATTACAGCGTGGCTTATCATTTGCTGAGTTAGCTCGATGTTTTCTATCAGAAAAGAAAAGTTAATAAAAGCAATTTACAAAAATTTTAGAGTTATTAAAAGACTCGTCCTCAGAAGATCAAGAAAGCAACCTCGGTAATATTCGACCCTAGTTCGACATTTTACTATAGATACCACAGACGGCATTTCGTTCCATTTTTCATAACTTATAACATGGTTCGAAAACTGGCTCACGCAAAAGCTGATCTTTTCTGAAGTGCGACGCTCAGGAAGGAAAAGGAAATCGTAAACCGCTCGGCGTAAACTGAGGAAAAACAAGTTTTATTTTTTTCTATCCTTTTGAATGAACAGAAAAAAAAATTGATATTTACATTTGTCCCTTCTTCTTTTTTAGTCGTATCTCCGTCTGGTTCTAATCCTAAATTCGTTTCTGTTTGCACAGATTGTAGCGTTGTTTCTGAAATGTGAACGTTTGTTTTTTTTTTACCTATGAAAGCTGCGACAGAGAAAATAATTACAAAATTACATATTTGTATAAACTTTTCAAATAAAATATTTCTGAGACTTTGTGAAATGATCAGCTATTTTCTTCATGGTATGATTGTTCGTTTTAATCGCTGTATCTACAACTATTAAATTTATAAAGCATTTATGATAAACGCAGGACAATATGCAAGAATTATGAGACCTCTACAAACTCTGTTGACAAAGACCTTTATTCAAATCTGGTGACCATACTATTTCTTTTTACCTACCATTAGCATTTTTCTTTTTAACCTCCAAGAGAATGACTTATTGATATATATGCAGGATGATCTCAATATAAGTGTCCTTTTTGTTTCCATGTTTCCTAAACGTGTTCTGTCCATAGTATTCTCAGCATCATTCTGCAGAACCACATTCCTGTTGTCTCAAGTCTCTTCATTATCCTTCAGAAGATTTCCAGCATTCACCTCCATATAAGAGGACCGATATTATATTATAGTCCAGTACTGTGTATAACGAAACTTTCGTGTTTCTTAATACTTTGCTTAGCTTTGGAAGACATTTTTTATTATCAACATTGTTTCCCATGCATATCTAATGATGTTAAGATTGTGGCTACCAATAATGAATACTGGTAGAAGTCATGATTCTCTTAGAATCGCCTGACTTTAAAGGTTGAATGTCTAGATGTGTGCCCAAAATATAAATAAATTTATAGATTCGTCGAAGTCGCAACGATAAATACGCATTCCTTAAATAAATAATTCAAGCCTTGACCGGCCCCGGTAAAAGCAAGTTTCGGCTACAGAAATAATTTCATTGATGAAAAAGGGAATACATGTTACATTTCTGTAACGAAGCACACTTTTTCTTTAGTAGAAATTCTCAATCTAGACCGGTGGACATTAATTTCACTGTATAAAAACACTTATAACAACTCCAATACGTATAACAAATAAAAAAAAAAATAAAGTTTATCGTTATATGAAATAGTAGTAGATAAAAAAATTAATTTATGTATATTATACTAGATAATCTGTTCTTCGTCGTTTATTATTCACGGCATTCTTGATTAAAATACCATTACTTAATTTCTATTGCTCCCAGCTCCACTCTGACCCGGGGTAGTAGCAAATGTTAGGGTGCAAGCTATGGTCAAATAGTGAGCCATCAACAAAAATCAAGTAATATAGTAAAATTATCATCAATACATTTTAATAGCAAAACCACAATCAATACAACACTTAAAAGTATAAGAATATTTTTTGTAGTGAAATTAGAAGCAACACATACATTTTTTTAAAATTACCAACAACGCATTTTTTTACAGACAATGCATTTTATCATCTAAAAACTATATACCTAAACATATATTTACTCTGGAAGTATAAAATTATGTACAAAATATCTATAGTTGAAGGGATAAAATTTCATACAATATATTAGATTTCGGAATTAAATAACCTATGGAGGTGTTAATATACCACTAAACAACATAAACCATCCAACCTAAAAATATAAAATTATGTACAAATTATCTGTAGTTGAAGGCAAAAAAACTGCATACAATATATTTTGATTTCGGCAATAAATAACCCATAGTGTTTGATATGCCGCTAAAGAAAGTACAAAAAATCAAACAAACAAATTCAACAAACCAAACTTATTAAAATAAAAACGGAGAAAAAATTTCCCATCATCAAATCAATGAATTTTGAATCTTCCTTTTTTATACAGTCAAAATCATCTCTCTTTATACAGTCAAATTATTCTGTTTTTATACAATCAAAAAATAATGATGACGTCTTTAATATTCACTGCATAAGGATTATACAATGATAAATTCAATTAAAATAACTTCTCGAATATTCATTTACCTTTCATCTTTTTAAGTGGTCGACATAACGCACCACATGCAACAATATTCAAAATTAATCCGCTTATTATAAGAAATGTTCCCCTCATGCCATAAAAGGAAATACTTTGTTCCAACAAATAATTAAGCGCAAATCCACCGATTCCACATCCACTACTAGCAATTCCCACAGCCAATGTTCGTTTCTTTTTAAAATAAGATCCTACGATGGTGGTGCCGGCAAAATAGGATATTCCCACGAAACCTCCTGAAAAAGAAAATCAAAAACGTAACGATTATCGCAATTATTAAGCAATGTTATTTAAGTAAAAATACTTTTAAATTATATTCTCAGCCTGATTCACTACCAAAACTCTAGTCATGTTTGTTAAAATAAAATCTTGAAAAGAATAAGCCGAGAACTTTTTTAAGTACATAAAGGTTAGATAAAATGCTCTTGTTATGAAAGGTACTTGTTTGTTGCCAATCTATTTGTACCCGATTGAAAACATAATAAATCACGCCTTCTGTCTTACAATTGATGTTTAATCCTATAACAAGAGTGCTTGGAAGAATGATTTAGTCTACTATTTACGTTTCTACAGTTATGGCCATTCTTATATCCATGATATAACAACACTAATATTTCAAGGACGTAACGTAATAGCTGAAAAAGGAATAATAAGTATGCTTATTGATTAGAGACTTTTATAATGTTGCCGTACATAAAATTATATATAAAACATACACGTGTTCCACACCGAGAAATTATAATATATAGGCAACAAATAATGGTGTGCAAGAAAGGGGAAACTTGTAATATTTTCCGAATATTCCGATATTCAGGACGAAACAAAAACAAGTAATAAACTGAGAAATTTCGCCTTATGAACAAAAAAGTTAATGAGATTGAATACAGTCTTTCATCCAATGGATAAACGACGTAAATTAAATATGTTGAAGAATATACATCACTGATATTCTTCGGCGAAATTTGACACTTGCGTATAAAAAGGTAAGAAACAAATATAGAACTTAATTTTATGAGGAATAAAAGTTGCGAACCAAAAGGAGAGAGAATGGAAACAATTCTGGTAGAAATATTATTTCGATATTTGCGTTTAAAATAATGTTTACTCAATGATAGTATAAAACTGGATAAATATCTGTCATCTGTCACAAAATCTAATATGACAGTGACGACTGCAGTCAATATGACAGTGACGACTGCAGTCAATATGACAGTGACGACTGCAGTCAATATGACAGTGACGACTGCAGTCAATATAATCACTTGCAACTGTTTCAAAGTTTCTGACAAATGAGTGAAAAAATAAAATGAAAATTTAAAGAACTGAAGTTGTCAAAACTAAAATCCTCAAAATATATATACATGCGAGTGTTCTTTGGTTATTTTGTTTTAAGGCATATCAACCTCATTGGCTCATTTAATGCCAACTAAATTTTTCAAATAGATTCATAGCGATAATTTGGAAAAAAAGGTGTGTATGTATACATATATATTTGAACCATTTTTCAATTACTCATATTTTTTAGCACAATCCTACTTCTTAAGAATGTATAGCTGTTTGTATTACTGGTATTTAAAAAAAATTTTAAAGTATTGCTGATAATAATTTTTCCTTCAAAAATTGTTGCTAGTAATATTTTTTATTAGAAAGTATTTCTGGTATTAAAACTAGTTTGGGTGTTAATTAGTTGCTCATAGCTGGGACCTTAACAAATGCTACCACCCGGAGTCAGGGTGGACCTGGCAACACCAGCAAATAAGAGATGGTTCCATGCTCCTCAAAACCTCCTGATTAGAGGTCTTGCTGTTGGACGTAGTTTATCGTCTTACCCAGGACGCTGATGTAGTTTATCGTCATACCCAAAACGCGGATGTAGTTTATCGTCATACCCAAGACGCGGATGTAGTTTATCGTCATACCCAGGACGGTTCTCTCCCTAGATTCTCGGTGACCAGATAATGCTGGTGAGAAAATTCAATAAGTCCACCCCAATAATAACAATGGAAGGAAAGGGAAGGATAAAACTTAAAATAAAAAGCTACAGAGCAGAAACAAGTGCTCCGGAAATGATAATTTGGTGATGATTGGCATTAAATGTTATGGGGTCCACCCCTTTTTCATATAAGTGGATTCGACCAGAGTGTTACTTGGACTGCTGCCGTTAAATACCCAGAGCTAAACAGTCAGTCAGAGAGATTGAGATTGAGATTGAGTAATAGTGTGAGGTAACCGCTTGTAGAAGTCACAGTTACAAGCACGCTCGACTCTAAGGAAGTCCTACTTCGAGACTGTATATATCTATATGTTATTGCTACTAACCGCGTTCCGGTATTTACTAACAGTATTACCCTTTGTATTATTGTGTAAATACATTTTATTTCTTATCTTTAATTCTTGCGTTTGTCATTCATTGGAGACCGGATTTCATCTCGGAATCCACAACATTAAACATCATCAGAAGCAGCACAAATGGACCTGGTAAATGAAAAAACCGATTCAAGTCAGGACCAGAAATATCTCAAACCGTGACCCCCCGGTTCACACATGATTTCGCATGTGCCGGAGTGTGAATGGACCATTCAGCAGTGCAGCAAACATTACACATCGCGCGAGCCACGCGTGACTAATAACACTAATCCGATTGGTTTTTGGAGCGCAAAGTTCGGCTGCGATAGAAATCTTTCATTGTTATAACTTTTACACCTGAAACCAAAATATGGCCATTCTTTTCCTTTCTTATTCCAATATAAGCACTTAAATCCGACTTTTTTCTAATTATGCTACCGCTATTAATTCTGATATGAAAAGTGCCCATAACTGCTTGTGTGCAGTGAACGCACATAATTACACACGCGTGCGTACGATCAAAAATGGAAAAATAGATAATATTGATTTAAATATTGACTTAAATCAATTTTTGGCACCGTCAAAACCTCCGCAGGACCATTAGTCAATGATATTTGTAATACTGGATAAATAACTGGCACCTGCCACAAATTATAATATGATAGTGGCGATTGCAGTCAAAATAATCGTTTGCAACTGTCTGATTGTTTCTGACAAATGATTGAACGATATAAAAATTAACAGAAGCGCAGAACTTGTCTAAACTAAAATCGTCAAAAATACATGCGAGTGTGGAGAAGGATTTCTCTCCCTGGATCCTCAGTAAACAGATAAAAAAAAATTAAAAAAAAATTGAATAAAAATGTATCGTTTTTACCTGAGATAATTCCGTATGTAAAATAAAGAACTTCAACTCGTTCAGCAAAAAAGCATGTAACGATCGATAGAGCAGAAACAAGTGCTCCGGAAATGATAATTTGGCGATGACTGGCATTAAACATCATTAGAAGCAGCACAAATGGACCTGGTAAATGAAAAAAAAAAACAGTTCCAGTCAGGAATAGAAATATCTCAGACCGTTGCATGTCTTCATTTTACACACTAGTTACACCAATATGAAAACTTACCAACACACAAGCCGACCCCATTGAAAATAGAGACGGCCATGGTTGTTTTCGACAGGGTATCTTCAAAATATTCAGTCAATCCGAGGGCAATAATACCATGTGAGGAAACCAGTCCGTGACAAATAAAATTAACCATGAATCCAGCAAAGCAAACGACCCAACCCCAACCCCCATCAGGAATGTGAAATTTTTCCTCATCAGGATCTCTTACAGATTCCTCTTCATCGGTATGTCTTTCAGTTGTTTGTGTCTGTTCCATTCTGAAAAAATAAAAGTATCCTTTAAGTTTTTTATTTATTTATTTATTTTTGAAATTCGCCTAATCAATAAAAAGGTTTAAATGGTCAAATGTTTATCAAGTATATTGACGACTTTAAGAGAATTTTACAATTCGCTCACAGATTCTTAAATAAAAACTTCATTTCTCAGTCACTAACATACACACTGAGGAATATACATATAAATACACACTCACAGTGATACGGGGGTTATATAAACAGTATGACCTCCAGGAAAACGTGATACCTAAAGTTTAAAATGAATTTTGGAAGATGAAATTCTTTCTTGAAGCTTTTATTTTAGTTTTAATTTTAAACTAATAGCAAAATACTTTTTTCTTTACTTCAAAACTAATTTAAATTGACTAGAAGAAGTTTTTGCTTTGAAATCGCTAAAATCGCCATTTTTATCCATCTGGCACCTGAATCAAATTCTCTTTATTAAAAATCTTTCAAAAAATATTGTTCTAAAACTTTATTTGAGGAATAATTGCTGATTTAAAGTTTAAATAATCTGATTTGAAACATGTTGTGGATTCCGGGGTGAAATCCGGTACCAATAAATAACAAACGCCAAGAAGGAATATAGGAAAATAAATGTATTAACGTAATAATACAAACTGGTAATGCAGGTTAGTAGTTCCAGGAATGCGGGTTAGTAGCAAAATATATATACAGTCTTTGGTATCGACGTATCGCTCTATGATTTCTTACTGAGTCTACGTGCTCGCTCGCTACGTTCGTTCGTTCTCGTTCGTTCTCTCGGGTATTCACTAGTAGTAGTATATGTATACCCTGGGTGAGTCCATTTGTGTAAAAAAGGGGAGAACCCCTAAACAAAACAAATATTACTTTTAGTTTAAAATATCGCAGAAATGCATTTTGAACAATGTAGATGTATATTTAAGATGTTGATAGCTTGACTGACAAGCGGATGTTTATTTAATATTTTTCTACGGCGGGCATATCTGTAAAAATTACTTAAGGAATATAATGTGAGCGCCTTTTTATATAATTTTTAACTACCCAGTAATCTTTAATATTTAGAAAAATATTCTCCGTAATCCAACGTTTTATTTAATTTTTGTTACTTACATTTACTCTAGTTACTGCTATTATTTTAAGTGTGAGAAATATTCTTTATTTCCTGTTTAGGATTAGCTTTTGGATCCTTTTCCTAAGTCTTTCTCATTCTCTTTCCCTCTCAGCAACCCCTTGCATTATAGTGGCATTATTCCATTCCTTGAGTTAAAATGATGAAAACTTTCTAGTATTATATCACACAGATATTTATTTCATATTTGTTCATGTTAAATATGGAATAAGTGCTGTAAAGTAAAAATGTAAAGAATAAACATTACCGTGTCGTGCCTCTTACAGAAACAGCTCCACGCATAACTCTGTTTTAGTCAAGACAAAATTAAAAAATATATTAGGAGCAGTTAAAGTTACTCCCACTCAAAAACCAAAATCTTAAATTCGAGCAGGCTAAAAACTATATATACCCAAATTCAAATAGACCCCCCACACACACAGACACGGATCAGAGATTGATGTCAACACTCACACGATGAGAGAGACACATAGAGACGGAAACACAGACAGAGAGACAGAGGGACTTACGCCACCAACGACGACGCCGGCCACCGTCAAGTGTCAATTTCACTTTTAATCTTACCACTCTCTTTTTCTGTAGCATTAGAAGTTATTAGTCTTTGTATATATGTAAATAAATTATAATTAATTTACCCCTACGCTATGTCCTCTTTTTGTTCGACGCTTTGATTTGCGTTTGCCGAGGCGGAGAAGGAATTAACCTCCACAACAGTAACAACAACTACAACATGATTCTGTCTTTCAGAACCAATGCCGCCCCCGCAGAAATCTCAAAATGAATAAAAGGTTATATGTCTCTTACAAGATAGAATACACTACTTGAAGACCCTAGTGAAAATATCTCTCTATTCTGTACACTATGTGGCAGGAAATGTCTGACGTGAGGGATGATCAATGGATTTGCTGTATTTTGGGGCAACACGATGAAGTTGTATTTTGAATCTATAATCTACAGAAACGCTCGCCTTAAATGTACATTTAAGTTAATTATCCATGTGTCTATCATAACATGTATCTATCGATGACTTCACGTCAGAATTAAAAAAAAAATAAAAATAAACAATGATACGCACATACACACACACATATATATATATATATATATATATATATATATATATAAACTCATTCAGGCAAAGACATAGAGAGAAATAACTGATATGAAAATACCTGTTGAAAAAGGAAGCCAAGCATGCTAAAATAATTTCTAATTTCACACCCACTATTTGTATAAAGATTTGAATAGCATAAAGCAAATGCTGATAAACAATATTTTGTTTTAGTTGCGAAATATATTTAACGTGTTTTCATGAGACATTTAAACTACATAAACATACATCAATCTTTCAGCGATAAAGAAGATTCTGTTCTGGGCTCTCATAAAAAATAAATTTCTCTTATTTAAAGTAGAAAAAATACTTTTGGGTCAAATTAAAAAATTATCAGCCGTTGCGCTGAAACTTTTGAACTGTAGTATATATATATATATATATATATATATATATATATATATATATATATATATATAGAGAGAGAGATAGATAGATAGATAGATAGATAGATAGATAGATAATATTAGTGGTAAATATACACATACATATGCAATCATATATCTAAAATATATAAATATATATACATACATACATACACATACATATATATTTGTATAAAAAAAATTCCAAGAGGATAGAATCCAGGTAGAACTCAATGTCTAGGACAGAGTAAGGATATAATAAAAAGGCTTAAACACTAATATTCCATGGTCATAATTTATTCCATTGGAATTGTAAACACGATCTAATTCATCAGACCTACAAATTCAAAAAGAAAACAAAAAAAAAAACAACTCAGGGAATAAAAAATAAAATTTAGTGATAGAATATGTATGAGAGTGTGGGACGAATGTTAGAGTAAATGAAAGCTATAGAGAGGGATAACAGACGAGAGAAAAACAGGAAGTTTTAAAGATGAAGTGGGGATTAAAATTTAACAGAGAGAAGTTTTAAAGTGGAGAGTCAAGGATGGTTTAAGTGAGAAAAATATGAATGTTCTCGGATGTCTAATACATTTATATGTTTATATTTGATTTGTAACCTGTAGTCGATATCAATTTTGTCAAATTTTCTTAATTACACAGCGGCCCTTTCAGTAAATGCCCTTCGGTTTTAGTTTCCCCCGCCCCATTTTTCTCCCCCACCCCTTTTTCTTTTCTTTTCCTCTTCCTCTCTCATTTTCTGATCTTTAAGATTATATCGTCTATTTTCTGTGTATGTCACCACAAAATGTATTCTTTCCGGTTACATCTTTAACATATTAGACATCCGAGAACATTCATATTTCTCTCACTTAAAGCGTCTTTGACTTCCCTCTTTAAAACGACTCTCTGTTAAATTTTAAATCCACCCTTCATCTTTAGATCTTCCTGTTCTTCTCCTGTTCTTCTCTCGTCTATTACCCCTCTCTATAGCTTTCATTTAAACTAACATTCGTCCCACACTCTCATACATACACTCTCACTAAATTTCATTTTTTATTACCGGAGTTTTTTTTTTCGGTTTTCTTTTTGAATTTGTAGATCTAATGAATTGGATCGTATTTACGATTCCAATGGAAAAAATTATGACCATGGAATATTAGTGTTTGTGCTTTTTTTTTTATATATATATATATATATATATATATATATATATATATATATATATATATATATATATATATATATATGGATGTTTGGGGACGCGGGTAGAGACAGGTAGGAAGACAAATGGACAAGCAGAAAGAAACAGCAGATATGAAAATACCTGTCGAAAATAAAATCAATTCTTCACATCCATTATTTGTATAAACATTTGAATGGCGTAAAACAAACACTGATAAACAATATTTTGTTTTAGTTGCAAAATATATTAAGCGTGATTGTATGAGACATTTAAGCTACATGAGCATACATCAAGCTTTCAGAGATAAAGCAGATTCTGTGATGGACAATCGTAGACCATAGAATTATAATAGTATCATCTACATGTAAAAATAAGGCTAAAAATAATGGAAGTATTAATAATAACAATGAAAAAAGCCAATATTCAATAAACACAGATACAATGTGCTGACTGTATTTAAAAAAAAACAAAAAACATTCCTATAACTGTACATAGAAAGATGAAAACCTCCATACATTCAATTAAAAATAAAATGAAGTCGTCTTTAATAATGGATAAAGAAATAGCCGAAAGCGATCAGATATAAAGAACATTCGGACATGTTTTACATCCTTTATGTCCAGAAAAGATAAACAAAATATGAAAACACAAGAAAAATTAAATAAAAATAATTGAAGTAATTGTTTGTTCGAATACACAATAATATATGTTATTGAGTGTTTTCCTGCTCAATTAGGTCTCATTTAAACACACAGAGAGACCTACCAAAATCCATCTACAATAGACTCGTAGACAATACAAATATAATAGCCACAACCACATACAGAAATTTCAGACATATTCTACGTGCTTTATGTCAGGACATATTCTACGTGCTTTATGTCAGGACATATTCTACTTACTTTATGTCAGGAAAGAAACAAATTATGAGAACACAAGAATAATGAAACCAAACATCTTATGCGAAGTACACAGTCGATTTTAACGAAATAGTCATGAGTGTTATTGAAATAATCTGTTAAGTTTTTTTACAATCAAATATGTCTAGATGCAATAGAGATATATTAATTTCATGCAACATACAAGGAGCTTATTCAACCATTCAATAAAGAACTGTGAGTTATCAGAAAATTCAGAGGAAACCCGTTAAAATTATCACGAGTACTTGACAATCTTTACGTTTTGATGGCCTTTATTTGATATGACGATCACTGGACATAGCAATAGTTGCATTGACGCCATTTGGATAGAATACGTTAACGAAATTAGTCATATTCTGTTATATAAGTCAATTTTTTCAGAATAAAATTGATATTAGCCAACCAATATTGATAACATTTTCAGAAAGTATTTATATTTATGTGTGTCATATATCATGTGAGTTTTCGCTCATACCGTAAATTCCGGGGTTCAAGTCATGTTTTCAAGCCTAAAATATCTTACCAAAACTAAGGATCGACTTATCTTGTAGGTATAAAACGTAAGATTAAAAGGACTACTTTAAAATATTCTTTAAAGTATTCTTTAAGTACGTGTCAAAGCTTTTGTAAAATTATTTCATATTTGTTCATATCCAATATTAAAGTGAAAAGATTACGTAGAGAAATGAAAATGTAAAAAGTTAAATAAATTTTTAGGCGAAAAAATCGTTCGTTTCTACAAAATCAGGAAAATCATACGAAGTGGATTTCATTGATTTGATCGATATACGAAATACTTAAAATAGGAACAGTAAAAATGAAATCAATCAATGAAAACTGATTTTATTTTTAATGTGTAAAAGATTTTGTAGAAGTATTTTATATTTGCTAATCTTAAATATTGAATGAAAGCAGTAAATGAAAATGTAGAAAATAAAAGATTGAATTAAAACGAAGTAAATGTAAAAAAATAAACACTTACGAGACAGATGAAGCCACTTGAAGATCCCAGGGAAAATGTCGTTCTTCTTTTAATGTACGCAGTTGATAGAAGTTAATCATTTCAATTTTACTATTTTGGATAAAAAAAAGAAGAGATTGTCATATTTTTAATCTAAAGAAACGCTCTCAATCGATGTGCATACCAAATACCTCGACTGTACTTCAAGGGGTAGTAACTATGTTTTTTATGAAATGTTCGGGTAAATGATTTTTATAAGAATTAAGGTCATATCTTGAAAAATGAAAAGATTAAAAGATGTTATGATACATCGGACAATGTTTTATTGCCACCTGTGCTCACTGTGCTATATTTAGAGGGATTCAAAAGTAGATATTGTATTGTTTATACAAACATATCAAATAATAAATATATCAATGCCTCTAAAAAATATATATATAAACTGTTTGTTTGTTATATATATATATATTATATAATAGATAGATTCAATATTACTATATATACTCTAATATATATATATATATATATATATATATATATATATATATATATATATATATATATATATATATACTAGCCTGCAAGAATTTTTTAAGCAGCAGAAACTTCCGCGTACACCAGATTCAAGATATTTCGCATGTTATATATTTCATACTCACACGTAACAACTTCCGGTTCAACAGGCACCATTTCCTTCAAGTCAGAGACACAGCAATGGGAACAAAAATGGCTCACAGCTATGCTAACTTCTTCACGGATGCCCTTGAACAAGATATGTTTAGAAGATACCACCTTGCACCCCTATACTACCACGGGTACATAGACGACATCTTCTTCATATGGACACATGGAGAGAACCATCTCCTGGGTCGTAAAAATCATCTTAACAACTTCTAACACACCATCAAATTAACTATGGAATATTCCAACACTTCAATTCCGTTTCTGTACACACTGGTACGTCTCAGAAACAAGCACACCTCTACTACACTTTACTCCAAATCCACTGATGGTCACTGTTACCTAATATTCAATAGTTTCCACCCCACCAACCTAAAGAAATTTATAATCAACAGCAAATGCTTACACATTAAACGCATTTGTTCTCAAAAGGAAGATTACGACTTACACATAAGACAACTCTACAATCACTTTTAAAATAGGAATTACCCACCCTAAATAATTCAAGAATCCATCAACAAAGCTTCCAATCTTAACAGAAAAACTCTTCTCATCTATGGAACTAAAAAGAAGAATTCCAGAATCCCCATGGTCTTTTATTTCAATCACAACACAGATAAACTTTCTCATACATTAACTAAAGATTTCTAACACTTAAAATTAGATAGGACTATTAGTCATTTATTTAGTGATAACCCTCTACACACGAGGTGACAGCTCCCAAAGCTCTTCAGACTTTTAACATCATCGAAAATCTGCAACTCACCACCATACCAAAGGAATGTCATCTGCAACAACCCCGCCGTGCCTGGTGTGCAAACACGTCGACACTCACAATATCTATACCACCGGTACCCACGTAGTATTCAGATCGCCTGCTCTAAGCTGTGACAGCTCCAATCTGGTATATCTACTCTCGCCACAAATTACAGAAGGGGAATTATGCGTGTGAAACTGGAACACTGTTCCGGTTACGGTTCAATAACCACAAGAGAAACATCAGGGACACTAACAGCAATTTACCGGTATCCGTACACTTCAACCAACCTGGTCACAGCATCGATGATATCAGGTGCGTGCTTTTAGTGTCTGGGTTCAACAGCCAGAAAGATAGACGCAGATCATAGTTGAAGTACATCCTAAAAATAAATTCACACATAAAAGGAGTAAACAGAGATTTAGGTTTACTCAAAGAATATAATTTCCACAAGGGAGCTACCCATTAACATCAACACCACTCCTCGAATGAGTAGGCCCTCAATCCATATTTTAAAATCTAAACTTTAACAACCATTTCCCACCTACCACATTCTACTGCTCTGACACCTATGAATTCCCCCATTACGCACTTTTCACTAAAGTAAATATTGCCATATACACTGAAGGCTACTTCCCAACAACCTTCTTCTACACCTTCTTCGGTTGTACAACTATAGTTCCTTTACATACCTGGTTATGGGGAAAGTTGATATTAATCTGATATTAGGTATTCATATCTTTACGGAAGTTGAGATTCGCAAGTTTATGTGGTAGTTAATAGATAATGAAAAAAATATAGATTCCAAAATATCACATCAATTTTACCCAGAAAATATAACCCATTATCCACATTTAAACCGTTTCTCTAACATACATATCTACACAGGCATTATATATGTCTCATCTCCAGAAGTTTTAGCTGCCCAATTCTTTTATTGGTGTTTGGTAATTTTTCCCTCCACTAATTGTGCTGAGAAATGCTCACAACAACTGAATAGGAACGCTTAAAAAACATGACGTTAGGAAAATTATCTGATGCGGTCCACTGGCTATTACAATTTGCATTTCGTTAAATTCACCAATAATTTCAAATTTCAGTATATCAAAATGAACGCTTCAAAGATTAGATACAATTGACATGCGTAGGTGTTAAAGTATTAGTACTGCCAATCTGGTTAGTCATACTAATTAAATAGATAGATATATATATAGATAGATAGATAGATAGATAGATAGATATGAACAGAAGGATATACGTATATATATATATATATAGAGAGAGAGAGATATGAACAGGCTGACGTAGATACAGAGACAAAAATATAAATAGATATGAACAGATGGACATAGACAGATATGAACAAATAGATAAATAGAGAGAATACAGAGATAGGTAAACGTGACAGATAGATTGATTTAGAGATAGATTATTTGGATGTAATAATGATTGACTGATATATCCTAATAGTTAACCCATAATTGGCGTCAGAATTGGGATCATTACCTTTCCCAAGAGTATTTTAGCGTAAAGGAATATAATGAAAGAAGACTGGAATTTGAACTCGGCTCTCCAATTTCCAATTCCCAGTCGTTATCCAATACACCACACACACATCCACACTTACAGCACCTTTTATCTCCAAAAGGTCACCCATCTAAGCATTGAACAGGCCCGACACGACGTCACTTAATTTCAATGATTGTACGAGAACCGATATTTCAACTTGCTATGACCTTAAATAACACACACACACACACACACACACACACACACACACACACACACACACACACACACACACATATTTATTTTATTTACCTAACCAGTTCCTTCCTATTTTCTATATATTTTTTCATATATATATATATATATATATATATATATATATATATATATATATATATGAAGAAATATAGTTTTAAGGTGTGGCTATATTTATGGGATAAAATGCCCAATATCAGAGATAGAGCATATGTAAATATAAATATAAAAGTGAACATTGAAGTCAACACTCAGAGGCGGCAACCTGTTTCATGCTAGGCGCAATCGTTAGGTCGATTGCGCCTAGCAGAAAACAGCCTGTCGCCTCTGAGTATTGACTTCAATTTTCATATTTTATATATATATATATATATATATATATATATATATATATATATATATATATATATATATGTAGAGAGAGAGAGAGAGTGAGACAGGCAGAGAGATAGAGATAGATGGATAGATAGATAGATAGATATGAACAGACTGACATAGATAAATAAGAGAGATAGAAAGAAGGAAACGATGCACAAGAGAGTGGTTATGTAAGAGGCTAGTCAAAAGCTCTCCTATTACGTTTCCGCATGAAAACCTCTCAAGTAATGATATACAGTGAAAATGCTATGGCCACAGTTGTTGGTCAATCATGTGCCCGCAAAGCTGGTGTTAAGCGATGGATTATATATGATGTCTAACGGGAAGTTTTGATGCCAGAAATACTTTACCGGTAGCTGGTGACTTTCTCCCCGCTAATAGTACTGAGAAACGCTCACATCAACTTAATAGGAACGTTAAAAAACCATGACGTTAGGAAAATAATCTGATGCATCAAATTCATCAATAACTGCGTAGGTGTTAAAGTAGAGGTGATGCCAATTCATACTTATCAGATAGATAGAACAATTTATATATATATATATATATATATATATATATATATATATATATATATATATATATATATATATATATATCCCATAATACGTTAAATTAACTTGTGTTTTTTAATATCTGTCTATATTTCTGAGATGACCTATTTTAATTATTTACAATATTTACATTGTTCGGACTGTTGTCTTTTTCTTTGTTTCCATATCCACGACGTTTCGGTAGTTGTACGCCCCGGCTTTCTTCAGGTGTACGAAATAAAATGTTCATTTCGAAATTCTAATCACAATAAATCATTTCATAAATTGTTTGGTCTCTGTCATTTTGCAAACCGCAAGATAATCATTTTTTTTTGTCTGCATACGCGCATGCAAAGCGAGACACAGACAGTGTGTGGCGAACAGATGTACAGCTCTTCTTAACACAAATTCTTCAGAGCCTTATGTTCTTAGACATTCTTGCTTCGGACCAATTCTCTTGTTATTTGTTTCATTCCTATTAAAACATTTCGGTCGTTGTACACTCGGACCTTCTTTGGGCATCACTCAATATTTTTTAAAAGGATTTATGACGTAAGTGCCATTATTAATTCTTGTATTTTTTTCATTTTCTGGCTTTATGTCATTCGTTCGGATTCAATTTCTGATCGTTTCAATGAACGAGAGAAAAAGGGTTGAGCATAACGTAACTGCATACCAAAATGACGCATATATCCAGCAGGCTGGATGGCTACTTAACAGTCGTCTGTTCAGACCATACGTCAGTCACTGAAACCCTTTTTCTTTGCTTCAAGTGAACGACGAGACACCGCATGGAAATAAGGAATTGTGAATGAAGTATGACGTAATATAAGATTATCTCCTAGTATGGGAAGTGATATGAGAACAATTTGCAAAAATCAACTAAATAAGAGGTTCAGTTCGAAATTCAAAGGAAGTTAACGAATACGACACACATTTGAATAAAGCCGAAATTTAAAACTATGAAAATATATTTCTCTTAACCAAGATGAGGAAACACATTTCTGTACCCAGTGTATTATAAAAATATTGTAAATTCTGAAATAAAAAGAGAAACGTTTTTCGCTTTATTTTTAAAATTTGTCTCAGTCCTTCGAGTTGTATTTGTGGCATCCATCTTGAGAGTGAAAAAGCTTGACAAAGGATTTTCTCCTTTGTGTCTTTTGATTGGCATGTCCTACATTATCTTTCTAACATTCGAGGGTACTTGACGACAATTACAACGACTCAGCCTGATTTTGTAGGCGTTTTGTATAATTTTAATAATATGACCTTCGGCGTATGATACTCAATTTTCAAACAAAATATCTTACATCCTTTCATAATGCGTGCATGATTTTTTATTTACTCTATTCCTCGCTATAAAGCATAAAATCTAAAAATAATGAACATTCTTCACCAACTTTGAATTGGAATTTTCTAAGTTGAATAAAATGCTTCTTTTCTTACGCTCAACAAATGAGTCCAGCGTTGCATTTACTTTTGACTTGCTCTGAGATCTTCAGAGCTAAATAGTCGCTGATAACATCAGAATTACGGCAGGATTAGCTTGAAGGTCGGAGAATATATCGGCAGAAAATTAGGAAATAAAAAATAGAAAACAAAAATGATACACATAAAAATGTTCTAAAGCCTTCCTGTATTTTATGGTGGACTCCCCCGTCGTATTCGACGTATGAGGGTCAAGCAGTTGAGTTCCTACAAACCGACAGCCCAGATGCCAGCACAAATGATTTGATTATTGTGGGAAATGCTTGGTGCAGAACCAATCACACTTTTTGAAGGGCCGAATACAAAGTGTATTTAATCTGATATGAACCAAACATATCTTACATTTAATTTTATATATCACAGCAAAAATTTTCCCAAACCACTTCTGACATGGTCGATGATTTGCATTGCAATCTCCATAAACGACAAAAGATATCTTGAGCTTCAGTCACAAATATTCATTCATTAAAATTTATTCACAGCCGAAAATTATAAAAAGTTAAATAATTAAATTGAAATAGTATATTAAAAAATAATGGAAAATTATTCGGAAAAAATATTTTTAAATTCTGTCTCTCTACGCCACATACGCACGCGCGCACACACACACATACGCACACACACACACACACACACATATATATATATATATATATATATATATATATATATATATATATATACATTAGTAAAAAGGATTTTTCTTTTTAATCAAGATTATTCCTAAATTTGAATATCCTAATATATTTGGAAGTTTACAGGATGATATATTTTAAATTTACATATATACTTTTGGGGAAAATTTTAAATTTACATATATGCTTATGGGTAACATACATAAATCTTTATATATCAGAAACATTTTTAGGAAAAGTTGAGAAAAAGTGGAAAGATTTTCGTGTGAAGCAGCTTTTCGTTGACCCTTCATCGGACTAAAGTCATGTTTATGTTCTTGCGACCACACATGCGCATTACACAAAATATGGGTGTGTGTGCTTTGTTATATATTCTATATAATTCCATTTCGTTTCGTATTTCTTGTGGTTAAGGTTTTTGATTTTTGTTATTAAATATCCTACATTTTGAAATTAGAAGATCTGTCAAAGAGGTGAAATATTTTAGCAACCTGGACACAAATATATTGTGCCTCATCTTGCAATTAAAGCTTTATCTCTACACTTTCGTATTAGTAAATTGCTTTCTCATTTAATTCAGTCAGTATTTTCTAAATCAAATTTAGGTTCAGACTTAGTACGGTGAGCAACTAATGTATTGAGTGTCTATTGCATCAAACAATTTCTCTGCTTATACGTAGAATTTCCTTTCTTTGAATGTACATCATTCCATTTGAAGAGATGCAAGCCAAGCATAACAAACCGACAGCAAATGGAAAAATAATATCAAGGGATTGTGTTGTACGAAACAAATGAATTTCTCCGTTTATTCATAGAATTTTCTCTTCAGATACATATAGAAAAAGTAAGTAAATGGAAAGGTAACGTCAAGGGAGTGACTTGCATCGAATAAAATAATTTTTCTGGCTATTCATAGAATTTCCTTTTTACTTGCATGTAAATAATTCCAATTGAAATGATGCACTCAAACGAAAAGGGCAGCCAGCAATTAAAAATATGGAATCATGGGAGATGTTTGCATAAAACAAATTCATTTCTCTGGTTATCTGTAGAATTTTCTTTTTAATTGCATGTAGATAGTTCCAGTTGAAGTGATGCAAATGAACCCTAAATGGTAGGCAGCAATTGAAAATATAGAATCAAAGTTGATCTTTGCATAAAACAAATTCTATTCTTTAGTTATCCGTAGAAATTTGTTTTTAGTACGGTCAATAATTCCATTTGAAATGATTCTATCCAAAACGAAAGGGCAAAGAGCAATTGAAAATATAGAATCAAGTGTGATTTTGCATAAAAAAATATATATATTTCTCTAGTTCTTCGTAGCAATTCCTTGTTAGCTGCATGTAGATAATTCTAAATGTAGGGACTCAAACCAAAAGTAAAAGGCAGACAGCAAATTAAAATATGGAATCAAGGAACCTGTTTGCATGAAAACAATTTTTTCTCTGTTTATCAGAAGAATTTGCTTTTTAGATGCATGTAGATTATATCAGTTGAATTGATGCAAACCAACCCTAAAGAGCTAGCAGCAATTGAAAATATATAATGATGGGGATTCTTTGTATAAAACAAATTCTTTTCTATATTTATCCGCAGAATTTTCCATTTAGTTGAATGTATATAATTCCTTGTTGTAATGACTCTAATCAAATCAAAAACGGCAAACAGTAATTGAATATATATAGATTCAAAAGAGATGTTTTGTATCAATCAAAGTCATTCCTGTTGTCACCCGTAGAAGTTTCTTTTTACTTGCATCAAAATAATTTCAATTGAAGTGATGCAAATCACACCTAATGCGCAGACAGCATTTGAAAATATAGAATCAAGAGAGATGTTTGCAAGAAACAAATTCATTACTCTGGTTATCCGTGAAATTTTATTCTAACTGCATTTAGACAATTGTAATTGAATTGAAGTAAACCAAACATAAAGGGCAGACAGCAACTGAAAAAACAGAAACAAGGCAGTTGTTTGCATAAAAGTAAATCATTTCTCTGGTTTTTCGTATAATTTTCTATTCATTTGCATGTAAATTATTCCAGTTGAATCGTGGAATTCAAAATAAAAAATGAATTAAAAGCAAGGCAAGCTTTGCATAAATAAATGCACTTTTCTAGTTATACGTAGAATTTCCTTGTTAGCTGCATGTAGATAATCCCAAATGAAGTGACTCAGACCCAAACAAAAATTGTAGACAGTAAATTAAAATATAGAATCAAGGCAGCTGTTTGCATAAAACAAATGCTTTTCTCTGGTCATCCGTAGAATTTCCTTGTTAGCTGCATCTAGATAATTCCAGTTGAAGTGATGCAAATCAACCCTAATGGGCAGAAAGCATTTGAAAATATATAATGAGGAGAGTTTGTATGAACAAATTCTATTCTTTAGTTATCCGTAGAATTTTCTTTTAGTTGCATGTCGAACAATCCATTTGAAATGTCTCTAACCAAACCGAACGGTCACACCACATTTCAAGATACAGATTCAAGGGAGATTTTGTATCAATGAAATTCATTCTTGTGGTTAACAGAGGAATTTTTTTTAGTTATATTTAGATAATTCCAGTTGAGGTGATTCAAACCAAACCAAAATGGCAGACAGGAATTGAAAATATAGAATCAATGGTGATGTTTGCATAAAAGAAAATCATTTCTCTGGATATTCGTAGTATTTCGTTTTTAGCTGCATGCAGATAATTTCAATTAAAGTCGCGCAAAACAAACCTAAAGAGCAGACAACAGTTGCAAATAGTCAAGGGAGTTGTTTTGCATAAAGCAATATATTACTCTAGTTATTCGTACAATTTCCTTGTTAGTTGCATGAAAAGGATTCCAGTTGAAGCGATGCAAACTAAATAGAAATGGAAGACAACAATTGATAAAATAGATGCATAGGAGATTATTGCATGAATCAGTTTCTTCCACTGGTTAAACAAAGAATGTTCTTTTTAGTTGCATCTACATAATTCCATTAACCGCCATAGAGATCCGAAAGGGCCCCCCCATTAGAATGTATGATAGTCAACTTGTTTCATAAAAGAAAATTAATTTGCGTCTGCTCGGTCACATTTTTTTTTGCTGACCTGAGATGGAACAAACAAATACATTGAGTCAATTGCTTCTTCCACCGTACAAAAAGTTGGCTTTCTGTGCCGATGTTTGCAATGAAAAAGGAAATTTTTCTCCCCTGAATCGATTTTATTTCAAATATATAAAAACAACCATTCGCCCTTGCATGGAGTATTGCTGCCAATACAAAATATGGTTTGGGGCATCTTCTGTTTAAAAGAAAGTAATTTCTCAAGATCCAGAGACGGATTTTATTTCTAAGTTATAACTAGATAATTCCGTCTGTCTGTAGTCACTCTCTCGAAACAGCGCTGTCAAAATATCTTTCAAGTCAGATGTTTCTAAACAAATTACTTCCATGGTTATTGTAGCATTTGATTTTGAGTTGCTTTAGATGGTCCCCAGTTCCATGAATTCAAGCGAAACGAGGCTGACATCCAATACAAAATATAGATTCAAGGAAGATGTTTGCAGAAAATTTTTAAATGTAGCATTTTATTTTCTCTTCTAGATAATTCCAATAGCTTCAAACCTCGCACAATCGCTTAGATGGAACACTTTCATAAAAGAAATTACTGTTTATCCTAGAGAGCTATAATAATTCCAACTATTCAAATGTAATGTCAACAAAACATCTCCATTTACCTTGATCTATCCCCCTATCCTTCTCCTCATTTTATTTTTAGTTTCTAGATCATTCCTGTTCTGCTCTCGCTCCAAATCTTCCGCAACCCAAAATATGCATCAAGGAAGATGGCTAAAAGAAATTAATTTCTTGGTTATCCGGGCATTTTATTTTTAGTTTAAAAAAAAAAAAATTCCAGTTGAAGTGACGCAAACCAAATCTAACGGGCAGTCAGCATTTGAAAATATAGAGTCAGGGGAGCTGTTAGCATTAAAGAAATTCATTACTCTGGTTATCTGTGGAATTTTATTCTAGTTGCATGTAGAGAATTGCAAGTGAATTGACGCAAACCAAAACTAAAGGGAAGGCAGCAATTGAAAATCTTGAATCAAGTGAGATATTTACGTAAAAGAAATTCAATTCTCTGGTTATTCGTAAGATTTTAATTTTAGTTTCATGTAGATAATTCCAGTTGAAGTGATGCAAATGAACCCTAAAGGGCAGGCAGCAAATGAAAATATAGAATCGAAGGTGATTTTTGCATAAAACAAATTCTATTCTCTAGTTATCCGTAGAAATTTCTTTTTAGTCGGATGTCAATAATTCCTTTTGAAATGATTCAAACCAAACCGAAACGGCAAAGAGCAATTGAAAACATAGAAGCAGGGGAGATGTTTGCATAAATTCATTCCTCTGGTTATCCGTAGAATTTTCATGTCAGTTGCATGTAGATAATTCCAGTAGAATTGAATCAAAACATACCTAGACGGCAAACATCAAATGAAAATATAGAATCAATTCCTTTTTTATCCACAGAATTTCCTTTCTAATTTCCTGTAGATAATTTTAATTGAAGTGACTCAAACCATAACTATAGGAGAGAAAGCAAATGAAAATATAGATTCAAGGCAGGTGTTTGCATAAAAGAAATTAATTTCTCTGGTTATCCGTAGCATTTTATTTTTAGTTATAACTAGATAATTCCAGTTGAAGTGACTCTAGCGAAACCGAAAGGGCAGACCACAATACAAAATATAGATTCAAGGAAGATGTTTGCATCAGTTAAATTCGTTCCTGTGCTTAACCGTAGAATTCTTTTTTTAGTTGCATGTAGATAATTGCAGTTGAAGTGACGCAAACTAAGCCGAAATCGCAGACTGCAGTTGAAAATATAAAATCAATGGCGATCTTTGCACAAATGAAACTCATATCTCTGGTAATTCGTTGTATTTCCTTTTTAGCTGCATGCAAATAATTTCAATTAAAGTCACGCCAATTAAACTTAAAGGGCAGAAAGCAATTGCAAATATAGAGTCATGGGTGATGATTTGCATAAAAAATTTATTTTCTCTGGTTATCTGTAGAATATGTTTTTTAGATGCATGGATATTATTCTAGTTGAATTGACGCAAACCAACCCTAAATGGTAGGCATCAATTGAAAATATATGATGAAGGGATTTCTTCGCATAATTCATTCTTTTTACTGGAATGTTACTTTTAGCTGCATGTAGATAGTTCCAGTAGAAATGACTGTAACCAAACCAAGAGCAGACAATAATGGTAATATGATAATTGATAATATGGGAGATGTAGATAATTCCAGGTGAAGTGACACAGACCAAACTTAAAAGACAGGTAGCAACTGAAAATATAGAATCAAGAAAGATGTTTGTATATCTAAATCATTTCTCTGATTATCTGAAGGAATTTCTTTAGAGCTGCATGTAGATTATTCCAGTTTAGGTGACACAAACCAATTTTAAAAGACAGACATCAATTAAAAATATAGAACTAATTAAGATGTTTGCATATCTAATTCATTTCTCTGGTTATCCGTGGAATTTTGTCTTTAACTGCGTGTAAATTATTCCAATCTAAAAGGAGAATCAGCAAATTAAAATATCGAATCAAGGGAGATGTTTGCAGAAAAGAAATTCATTTCTCTGGTTATCTGTAAAATGTTCTTTTTAATAGCATGTAAATAATTTTAGTTGAAGAGACTCAACCCAAAAATTAAGGGTTGCCACCAATTTGAAATATAAAATGAAAAGCGTTATTTGCATAAAACAAATTCATTTCTCTGGTTATCCGTAGAATATTCGTTTTAGTTGCAAGTAGATAATTTCAATTGAAGTGACGCAACCCAAACCTAAAAAGCAAGGAGCAAATGAATATATATAATCAAGGGAGATTCGTGCATATGTAAATCATTTCTCTGGTTATCCGTACAATTTTCTTGTTATTTGCATGTAGATAATTCCATTTGAACTGTTTCAAATCAAATCGAAAGTTCAGACTGCAACTGAAATATAGAATCAATGGAGATGTTTACAGAAATCAAAATGATTTCTCCGGTTATCCGTAGAATTTTTTTTTATTGCATGTAGATAATTCCAGTTTTAGCGACGCAAGCAAAACCTAGAGTCAAGGCAATAGTTGAAAAATATAGGATCATTGGTTTTGTTTGCATAAACTAATTCATTTCTCTTGCTATCCATAGAAAGTTCTTTATATTTGCTTGTAGATTTTAAATTGATACTGAACAAACATAAGTGGCAGACAAAATAGAAAAATATAGAATCAAGGAATTTGTTTGCACAAATCAAACTCATTTCTATGGTTATCCGTGGAATTTTTTTACTTGCATGCAGATAATTCCAATTAATGTAAAGGAAACTAAACGTAAATTGTAGACTGCAACTGAAATTATAGAATCAAAGGAGATGTTTGCATAAAAGAAATACATTACATTTTTTATCTGTAAAATGTTTTTTAGTAGCATGTAGATAATTCGAGCTAAAGTGGCTCAAACCAAAAATTAAGGGCAGTCACCTATTTGAAAAATAGTATCTAGGATGTTGTTTGCATTAATCAAATTAATTTATCTGGTTGTCCGTAGAATATTCGTAGCTGCATGTAGATAATTCCAATTGAAGTGACGCAAATCCAACCTAAATGGTAGGCTGCAATTGAAAATATATAATAAAGGGAGATAATTGCGTGAATCCAATTCATTCCTTTAATTATCTGTAGAATTTTCTTTTTTGTTGCATGTAGACATTTCCATTTAAAGCGAACCAAACTTAACCTAAATGACAGAAAGCAACTGAAAATCTAGACTCAAGAGAGATGTTTGCATAAATCAATCTCATTTCTCTGGTTATTCTTTTTACTTTCAACTAGTTAATTCCAACTGAAGTGACGCAAACTAAACTTAAAAAGCAGACAGCAATCGAAAATATTGTATCTCGAGAGTTGTTTTCTTATAGAAATTCATTTCTCTGGTTATTCTTAGAATATCCTTTTTAGTTGCATAGATGATTATAATTGTAGAGATGTCAGCCAATCTTAAACAACCAACAGCAAATTAAAAGATATCATCAAGAGACTAGTTTGTCTTAAATAAAATAATTTCTTTGGTTATTCGTAGATTTTTCTTTTAGATGCATGTAGATGATTCTAATTGGAGTGCTGCCAGCTAAACATAAATAACTGACACTAAATTAAAAGAGACTTGGTTGTATTAAATAAAAGATCAGATACAAATTATCAATGAATTTGGTTCTGTTTCTGCATACATGACAAACAACGATGACCAGAGGATGAACAAGAAGAATGAGTGACAAAACGTTATGGCTGCAGAAGTGACAAACATACCAAACAATAAAAACATCAGAAGATAACTTGTAGGGATTTGAATGTAGTCAGCAAGAATTCCAACAACAATTTAGCTAAATGCAAACACTGCACCATAGATAGACATTATCAAGTTTCCCTTTTTGTACGTGAGTTCAACATCAACAAGATTTTCTGGAAAATTTTTTTTAAATTGTATCGTACATTGGCGACAAAATTACAAAAAAAAAATTTTCAGTTAATAAGGCAGGGATTATATATTTTGTTTTAGGTTTTTAATTTATATTCATATTTTCTTTAAATAAGGTGGCAAATATCAGTAACCAAAAAATGATATATGTTTCTAGAAACAACATTGAAATACGTATACTTTAATATGTATCATTTGTTGCTGCAGTTAATTTAGCTGCAAATATCAGTCAAATGTCGGCTTAAAATGGTTTTCTTTGGAATATATTGTTTTCTTAGTTAAATAGATTTTGAAATGAAATGGAAACGTATTTAACAGTTTATTTATATAAGAACCTGAATTTGATAACATGTAAAAGGAATAAATGCAATAAAAAGGGAACTTTTTGCGCATTATGATCGCCAGCCGAACGATGAAGCAGCAACTCATCTAATGGTAACTTCATCAATAAAAAGGGGTTAATTCACAGCCTGGCAAGAATGGAAAAAGTCACCCGAAATTTCGGCAAAATTGAGCATCTATCGTTAGATGATGAATTTTCTTTGGAATTATTTTTGTTTTAAATCAAAAAATACAGTCAAAGTATGATGTGCCTAGCCTTGCCTTTCGTTTGTCATATATATGAAATGAATATGGATAAACTGAAATATTTTAAATAATATTTTTAACGCAGTTTAGTGAATCCAAATAAGAACCTCTACAACATATAAATAATATTTGAAATAAGTATCATTGTAAAATCCGGAATCAAATAAAGTGCAATAAAAGGGGAAAAAAACTGATTTTTTTGCGGATACATTTTGATCCGGTAATTTGAACGGTTGAGCCGGGATCCGTCGCCCGGTACGCAAGATCATGAAAATTCTTCTCTTGCTGATAGACTTCATCAATGGAAAAGGGGTTTTGGCCCTCGTTCGAATTCGGAGGATTGGCGCGATTGCGTCTCGGCAAGAATGGAAAAAGTCACTGGCGATGGTTCAAGGTAAAATCATTTATATCGATGTGCAAAAAAATACTGGTTATCTTGAATATATATATATATATATATATATATATCTATCGTTAGATGAAAATGTATTTGTTTCGTCTTTTATTAAGGCAAATGCAAGGATATTATTTTGCAACGAGTATTGAAAAATAATATGTCGTTACTTTTTTCAAAGTTTTTATATTTAAGAACAATCATAAATATATATGAGGATAACTGTATGTAAGTTGCTTTTGGAAAAATGTAATAATTTCAGGAACGGAGATATTTGAAAAAATCAGCGGGGTCGATTTATATTTTGACAAGATTCGATAGCTGCACTCTCAATAAATGTGACATTCTTTAAATCGAATTTGTGGTCGAATTTGTTTGTATGTATGAATAATGCATTTGACAATTTTTTGTGTATAATATCGTTTTGTGATCATAGATTATAAAAATGTAAAAAAAAAGAAAAAAAAACATTCATTACCTATTATTTAAAATATATAATGCATAAATGAAACCCAAGCAAAAGTAATATAAATATTAATTATATTATTTAAAAAGAAATAACTCACCTTTTTTTATTAGTTATTAAATTATGTCTTTAGCGTCGTCCGTAATTTCCCTAAATTTGAGATTTAGCAAGATGTCTATTTATGAGAATTCTAATGTTTTAAAAATAACATTTTTATTCGTCTTGTTAAAATTATATTTCATTTTAGATCAATCAGTAAGTTTTCCTTTTGTCTTTGTTCATATATATATATATATATATATATATATATATATATATATATAAATATATATATATAAATTCACCCTTCTTGGAAGTGTGGTTATAGGGAAAAAGAAATTCCCTGGAGAAGAATGGTTAAATTGATTTTGTGTGTGCGTGTGTGTGGGGGGGACCGTGTGTCATTCCAGGCGGATATATTTTCCGCTCTTGAATAATTTGTATATCATCTAATAAGCTTAACTGACAAATTTTGTTATTTCAGATTGAAGGTGCCGACTGTAACAACCCTTTGAACACACCGTACTAAACACTGCTTGTCATCAGACGATAAAAAAATAGTTTGAAATATTCTTCAGTCCAGATTTTGATCCCTGTAATATCATTAATATTTGGATGTTCTCAAGCTGAGGGACCTCGGC